GTTAAGAAAGTTAAATACTTGGGGATTAACATGACAGCAAAAAAATGGGAATTTATTTAAAGATAACTATGAAAAATGCTGGGCTGAAGTGAAAAAAGATTTAGAAATCTGGTCAAATTTGAAGCTTTCACTGCTGGGCCGTATTGCTGCGGTAAAAATGAATGTATTGCCTAGAATGTTGTTTTTGTTTCAAACATTGCAAATTGTGGACAAAATGGACTGTTTCAAGAGGTGACAGAGAGATATTTCCAGATTTGTCTGGCAGGGCAAGAAGCCCAGAATAAAATTTAAAATACTAACAGATGCAAAGGAAAGAGGTGGATTTGCCCTGCCAGACCTTAAACTTTATTATGAATCAGCAGCTTTTTGCTGGTTGAAAGAATGGCTGCTTCTTGAAAACACTGACATTTTGGATCTAGAAGGTTTTAACAACGTATCTGGATGGCATGCATATCTGTGGTATGATAAGGTCAAAGCACATAAAGCATTTAAAAATCACATTGTCAGGAAAGCATTGTTTAACGTTTGGATAAGATATAAGGATTTATTGGAAAACAAAATTCCAAGGTGGTTGTCACCAATGGAAGCGAATGCCTTGAAAAAGCTCAATATGGAGGTCAAATGGCCGAAATATTGTGAAATCTTGGAACAGGATGGAGATAGACTGAAATTGCAGAGTTTTGAAAAATTAAAAAACAAAGTGCGAGACTGGCTTCATTATTATCAGATAATGGAGGCATACAATTCGGACAAGAAAATTGGCTTCCAGGTGGAAAAATCAAAATTAGAAACAGAACTGTTAGAACCCAAAACTAAGAATTTGTCAAGAATGTATAACTTGCTGCTGAAATGGAACACTCAGGATGAAACGGTGAAATCCGCTATGATTAAATGGGCACAAGACGTTGGACACAACATTATGTTCGCTGACTGGGAAGTTATGGACCACAGGTATGAAATTTACGGCATGTAATGCCCTAAGAGAGAATATTATGAAAATGATATACAGGTGGTGCATAACCCCCGTCAAGCTTGCAAAAATCTACCATTTGCCCGATAATAAATGTTGGAAATGTAAAGAAACTGAAGGTACATTTTTCCACCTTTGGTGGACGTGCCCAAAGATTAAGGCTTTCTGGGAGATGATATATAATGAATTAAAAAAGGTATTTAAATATACCTTCTTGAAGAAACCAGAGGCCTTTCTCCTGGGCATAGTCGGCCAATTGGTGTTAAAAAAGGGCAGAACTTACTTTATTTATGCTACAACAGCAGCAAGAATACTCATCGCAAAGTATTGGAAGACACAAGAGCTACCCACACTGGAGGAATGGCAGATGAAGGTGATGGACTATATGGAATTGGCGGAAATGACTGGCAGAATCCGTGACCAGGGAGAAGAGTCGGAGAAGATTGGAAGAAATTTAAAGACTATTTACAGAAATATTGCAAAATTAAAGAATGTTAGTGTTGTTGGATTGAAATTAAGTGGCTTCTAGCTGTACAGGCTTTAAAGTTATATATAGATTAAGATTATGATTAGGACTAAAAAAGTCAAAAGAAATGGAAAATTGGTTTTTAATAGATTAAAAATTAATGTTATATTATATTAAGATTAAATATGGGATTAAAAAGGAGGGAAAGGAATTGTTGGACAAACAAATTGAATTGGAATACAAAAGAGGGAGGTATGAGGAGGTCCGGGAAATAAGTAAACGTAAAAGTTGTGATGAAAAGAAGGAATTGTTTTTAACTGTTTTTTCTTTTTTCTTTTTGTATTTTGTACTTTGTATGGTGTTTTTTTTTCTATTTTTTAATTTTTTTTTATTAAGATTTTTTTTTATGTGAAACTCCAATAAATATCATTTAAAAAAAAAAAGATGATGATGATGATGATAATTTATTATTTCTACCCTGCCCATCTGGCTGGGTTTCGCCAGCCAATCTGGGCAGCTTTCAACAGAACATTAAAAACAGAATAAAACTTCAAACATTGAAAACTTCCCTAAACAGGGCGGCCTTCAGATGTCTTCTAAAAGTTGGATAGTAGTTTATTTTCTTGACATCTGATGGGAGATAGAGAGAGACATATATACAGTGGACACTCGGGTTGTGAACGTGATCCGTGCAGGAGGCACATTTGCAACGCACGCACGGGTCACAATTTGGCACTTCTGCGCATGCACAAAGAGCAATTTAGCGCTTCTGCACTTGTGCTGAAACCCGGAAGTAAGCCATTCCGGTACTTCCGGGTATGGTGCAGTGCGCAACCTGAAGCATCTGTAACCCGAAGTATGACTGTACATACATATACATACATAGTTTTAATTCTGTTGTTTTATTTATTTTTTCTGCCCCCTGTTTTCAGCTGTTCTTATGTTATCTGTAGGCTGCCCTGAGTCAGGGGAAAAGCAGGTTATATTTGTTAGTATTATTTTTTATTATTTCTTACCTTTGCACACTCCCCTCCACCTCTTCCTCCAGCCACACCTGGTTTCCTCTCCTGCTGCTGCTGCCCATCCTCCTCCTCTCCCTCTCCTGGAAAGCAGCCGCTGCCCCTTGCTGAAGCCACCAGAGGGTCCCTCCACCTGGGGGGCAGCTCCACAGGGGCCTCCCTGACTCCCGTTTCCCCCGCAGATGGTGAAACGGCTGAGTGAGCTCACGGGGTGCCGCCAGGTGGTTGACGTGGGCGCTGGCCAGGTAAGTAGGGAGGGAGGAGGCCTCAGGTTCCTCTTCCTTTTCAGAGTCTCGCAAAGCCTGCTTTATTTACAGTGTCTTCTCCCCCCTTTCCCCCAGGGCCACCTCTCTCGCTTCCTGGCCTTTGGCCTGGGCCTCTCCGTCACCACCATCGAGGGAGACCCCCGGCTGGTCGCCCAGGCTGCCAAGTTCGACCAGGAGGTGGTGCAGGCGCTGAGGAAAGAGGGGGCCAAGCGAGGAGGGCAGGTGAGGAGGCGGAACGTCAGGGGTGGGGAGGGGATGTGGTGTGTAGCAGAGGGTCCTGGCTTCCTGAGGAGGGGGCGGGGGCCAGTCCCTCTGGTCCAAGCCATGGCAGGCAGCTTCCTCAGGCACTTGGTGGATTCCCACACGGCAGGGGGTTGACTAGATGACTCTCGGGGGTCCCTTCCAGCTTCTGTTAGCCACACGCCCTCCACTTAATGCCCTCTCCTTTTCCTTCAACCTCCATGGCTCCCCCGGCCAGAATCCGAGGAGCTGAGCCTTCTAGGCCTCTATCTTGAACACAAGCTCATCTGCGGTTCCTGCATTGCAGGGGGTTAGACTAGATGGCCCTTAGGGTCTCTTTCAACACCGCAGTTCTATCATTCTATGGCATGGGTAGGCAAACTAAGGCCCAGGGGCCGGATCCGGCCCAATCGCCTTCTAAATCCAGCCCGCAGACGGTCCGGGAATCAGCGTGTTTTTACATGAGTAGAATGTGTCCTTTTATTTAAAATCCATCTCTGGGTTATTTGTGGGGCATAGGAATTCATTCTTTTTTCTCCCCCCCCCCCAAAAAAAAATATAGTCCGCCCCCCACAAGGTCTGAGGGACAGTGGACTGGCCCCCTGCTGAAAAAGTTTGCTGACCCTTATTCTATGGAGTGGTTTGTGGGGGGGGGGGCTGTACATGAATGTATATTTAAGCGAGGGTTGTCAATGACTTTGACCAGCTTTCCTTATTTTGAAGTTGAACCGTGTGGCAGGGCCAGCTCCCTGATTAGGCAGAGTGAAGAAACTGCCACCACTGCTCACCAGCAGATGTCCATGGATAGCTGGGGGGGGGGGGGGAGGCACTGCTCTCCTTGCCCCTGGGCTGCCCCCTTGCGCCTTCTCACCCTCTTTGGGGTGTTCCAGGGGCAAGTAGAGAAACACACCCACACTGGTTTAAACAATACCAGTTTCATGTTTGCAAAGACAACATTAAATATCTAGGCACATTAACACCATGAGACTTATCTAAATTAGTGTCATTAAACAACAACAAAATATACCATGAGGTATCAATAGACATAGACAGGTGAGAGCAGTGCTTTTTTCTGGGGTATGCACACCCCTAAACATTTTGTGAATCTATTTTTGGCCTCATTGAGGAGCAATATTTCAATATGAGAAGTAGAATGAGAGTACCCCGAAACATTTTTAAAGAAAAAAAGCACTGGATGGGAGTCATTGAACCTGACCCTGTGGAGAAAAGTCAATGCTCTTAAAATGAACATAATACCTAGTTTATATCTTAAGAGGAATTCCAATTCACATACCGAGCAAATACTTTCTCAAAATTAAATCTTTGTTTAGAAAATGCCTTTGGGGCTCTTCAGTTCCAAGAATATCTATGCAAAAAATGCAGATACCGATAAAAGGAGGAGGATTTTGGACCCCAGACTTAGAAATGTATCACCAAGTATATTTGCCGTCAGGTAGACAATCCTGGAGACCCATAACTGAAAACAACTGTCCAAATTGGGCTGCTTTGGAATATTCCTATGTAGTACCTCTAGAAAGATGGGTAGCACTTGGGTCTAAATACATACATTAATACTCAAGATGCTATTGAAACAATAACATCAGTTAGAATGATACCACATGTCCAAAAAATATAAATTTGACCTTTGCTCCCACAATAAAATGACTTTGTGGGAAACCTGTCTTTAAAACCAGGAAAGAAATGGTAATACAGTATGGGAGAGATGGATGAATTTCTGTATATTAACATTAGACCAGTTGATAAACGAAGAGGATCTATTTTAAACATAGTCCATC